AGATCAAGCAAAGTGAATGTGTGAATACACAAAATTCCCAAATACAATGCAGGTTCACAACAATGTGAACGAGTGAGAAGGTCACCTGTGCTCTAATACAGTAAGTGATTAAGATAAAACATGCGATAAACCGATTTGCTTTCATTAACGATACTTTGATGCTAAGTATTCTCTCCCCAGGAATCATTGGAAAGGAATGATTAAATTCCTCAGCCCTGCAGAAAAGAATAGTAATAAAATACCCACTTGTTTATGTAGACCCTACAGTGCAATTTTTTTCTGCACTGCTGCAGAGCTGATCAGCCCACTAGAAGAAGCACAAGTTAAACTAGTCAAAACTGCAGAATGTTTTCAGAATTAGAGGTGCTTGATGAAGAGATCACTCTTTGAAATGGTGCCTTCTCTAGAGATGGAAACACAAAGTTGAAGACTTGCGGTAAGAAGGCAAACACAATCCAGGTACACACACAGAAAAAGTGGTGAAGCAGCAATGGATACCTCCTCTTCTGTACGAATTTTTCTGGTACCTTTACCAAGAGGCAACGTAGGAATAAACCAGAAACATTTCAGAACGCAAAAAAGCTGCTTATATCTCACATACAAGAAAGAAATCCACTCCTTATATCAAACTAACCTCACATTCTGGGCAAAACCAATCCCCCTCTGGTTCCGCTGTCAGTTTCAGACACTTAGCATGATAAACCCGAGGACAGAGTTCACAGCAGAGGACTTGGCCTTCCCGATGACAAACCCAGCAATAGAAATCATTCCGTCCATCCTGTGGTACAACATCAACAGGGTCTGTGGTGAGTGGCTGCTTCATATAGTAAAACGGACCATGTCTTAGTTCTGACTGAAATGTAGGCAAGAAAAACAGGTTTGGTTTCAAAACAAATTTGCATTTTTTCAAATAATAATATTCATAATATATAAGCAAACAGCAGTTTACAAGTTTGATTAACATCTATGCAAGCATAGTATCTTATTCATTGCACAAAATCTTTCATAAAGAGGTTTATTTCTTAGTCAGATGTCAAACGCCAGTTTACACTCAAGACTGAAAATATATTTTTGTAGCAAGTGAGGGCATTGAGTGCAAGACATGCAATCCAACAAAAGTCAGTACACACTTTTATCTTCAAGAAAGAAGTTTTGCTATAGAAGCTATTAGGTCCTCTAAACTCAGAATTCAATGGGGCTGTGCAAGCTAAATACTGAGATATTTAGTGGTGGCTAAACCTGGGACAGATGAAGAAGTTAGTCCTGAAACAAGAGGTTGAACACCACACAAATCTGTCTTAGGTTGCAGCAGTTCACAACTTTGTACAATGAAGCAAGCCAGTGCCGATTCTGACTAATAAGGCAAACTGTAGAGTAGGATGACAAAGGAGCAAATTCACATCCTGAACAGCCACCTCTGCTACAGCAGCGGGAACACTGGGAGAGATTTAATCCACCATTTAAATGCATATCAGAATTTAAGACTCACAATGTCCACTGGTTTGCCTGCACTAGAAAATAGCGTTAACTTTGTAAACTGCATGAAGTCTTCCACTTGAGCCCCAGAGAGCTCAAAGATGACACAGCTGATGCCAAAACACAAGAAGTGAAGAGCCTGGGCTGGCTAAAATGGGTCCCCAGATACCTAAAGTTTGTTAGATCAGCTTTGAAGAGCTGTTAACATTTATTGGAAAACTACATTCTATTTATTAATGACAAAGGAACTTAAGTTTTTTGTTTGGTATTAATTATAGGGGTGGTTTACTGAGGAGGGCATGGAAGGAAACAATCTTGAGTTTTAGGCAGTTTATTTACTGTGATTTTTTTTTTTGTTTGATGTAAAACCATTTACTCATGACATTACTTGTAACTATCCAAATGCTTGTAGTTTGCAGAACCATTTTGTTTGGTTCTCAGGTAATTTTGCATGCGTCCTACACCATTTACACATCTGCAAGTTCTTAGACCCTTGAGCTGTCACATGCCCATGTGACTCATAGAACAGTGCAAGCATATGCATGTCCCATACCTTTCCAGCATCCTGTACAAAATTAGCCACACAGGGCATAAATTAATGTCACCAGAAACCACCAGCATGCCAGCTTGGACCGTGATATTTCTAGATTTCTAAAGTTACAAAGGACAAGGTCTAATTATTTGCATGAATAGAGGACCTTCAAGGTCAAATTGGATGACGCAGAAGTGACAACCCAGCTGAAGATGTTATCTCTTCTTTTGTATCTTTTGAGATATAACATCTGCAATTATCTAACACTGTATAATTTTTTAGGCAAAGAAAGGATGTTACCCACAAACGTTCCCAAAGCATTCTGCTACCTAAAATTTCACTCAAATTTCTATCAGTTTTGGTGTTTTTCATTTCCTATTCTACAGATGATACAGCTACTAAAAAGATACTTTGTTCCCACCACGGAAATGGGCAAAGTGTAATTTTCTATACTTTCTCTGTATATATATTTAATCATATAACATGACAAGACTTTCAGAAGGAAGGTTCTATGGGATCCTGTGGAATAAGAGGGACAGTATAAGGCTTTAACTACATTTCAAATGTATTACTACTACAATCATTCAAACAGATACAAAGCCATAAGGAAACCCAGAGTGAAGAAGGGAAAGTTGCAATTTACAGTGCAGAAACATGTTTTGTTTGCAGCTATATGCACCACAGCTGTGAGACCAAAATCTCAATAACGTATACGTGGAGACGCAACTATGGGGCATTTCCTCAACTGCAGATAAAGGAAATTACCAGAAGAATTTAATACATATTGTGACTTTGAAGTGGGTGTAAGCAGTATATCCACACTAACTTCCTAAGAATCAAAGATACTGCTTTAAGACAAATATAAAACCTGTGAAAGAAACTATTCCACAGAAATGAGCTCATAACATCCAAACCAAAGTCTGTTTTTGCTAGAGCATGAGAGGAATTAATCTTCTCTTCAAGGATGCTTATATCTTGTAGACATCTATCACCTTATTTTGTCTAAGCCAAGTTTAAGAACAACAACAACAACAAAGGTTCTGAGACTCAAAAAAGACCCAACCAACAAAACTGAAGGACTGAAAATTAATGATTCAACTGCATCAAAGGACCTTTTCACTTGTTCTAATCAGAGTAAAATGTTTTAAGAGTTTAAATTTTAACAGTGATAAAAAAAAAGCTTTGTTTTCTCAACTGTTTCACAACTAGCCAATTCAAGCTCAAATAGGTGGTAGCTTGTTTTAAAGTCTATTAAAGTTATTAAGACCTGTAGAATGACATTGAAAACTGAAGAAAAACCAACAGTATTTTAGCGCTGTTTTGGGGAGAAAAAGATCACTATTTGTATTCAGTTTAAATTAATATTGAAGCAAGTAGTAAAACAAGCTGACAACTTCAATTACATTATAACTGACCAATTAAGTGTCAGAAGTTCCTGATTTTTAACCTGTCTTAGCTACATTCTACAATTCCATAATTCTTTGCTTGTATTTCAACACTTTAAATACCTGTTGGCACCGTTCTGAAGATCTGTTACTGCATCCACAACATGTAATACAAAGTTTCATGCAACTATAACTTTAGTAACGGTATCTTGAAAATACCGAAATATTACAAAACACTTTGTAATGTAGAATATTAAGTTGGAGGTTTCCAGAGATGTTGTCATACCTCAAAATGGATTTATCAGCCAATCAGAACCACAGCTATCAGCTACAATATACTTGAAACTTAACCTGAGAGCAAAACAAGTAACTGCATGCTTAGCTCAGATCTGTTCAGCAGTAAAAGAATCTTTAACAACTCCTGCTACCATATAGAGCAGAGTTTTGCACCTACTTTAGAAATAATTATCTTCAGGCATGCCCATTTCAAATTTGACATGCAAGACAATATTAAATTAGAAACAACTTGTAAAAGCTAAACAAAACTAAACAGATGATATTTTCTTGCTAACTTGTAACAAATACAGCAAAATAAGCAAGTCTGAGGGCTTTTCTTCATTAGATATACAACTTAATTCTATCCTGTAATATTTCAGGTCTGAGATACCTGGAAAACAGAAAACGATTTACTGAGGGGAATGTATCAAGTTCAACAACTGCAATTGTGTTTTCACATATATTTTTAAATGCATGAATAAAAAGTGGAAATTAATACCCTAAGATTCAATTCCACTGTAAAATTATCTCTACACTGCACAGTTAGAAGCTCAGACTTCAGTGGGGTGACATCTCCCTAGTAAACATCCAGGATGTAGAGGAATTTATGCAGCCTGCAGTGAAGCTCAGCAAAAGCCAAACTGGTCACATTAAATTAGTGCAAGCATGCCTACACATGCTATTTCTAGACCTCCCAATTATCCTTAAATAAAATGTGCTTGACACTGTAAGACTGTTCTCTAGCAAGGCCCGATTTATTCAGTCTTTGTTTCAGGACAACTGCAGTGATTAGGAACTTCATTTTCTTTCTTAACCAGTGCAATTGTACGAGGATAATATCTAACGTGGATGCTGTTACACCGGGAGAAAGTGCTTTAAACACTCAGAACTTCATCCTGTGTTTATATGATCCTGGCAAAATATATTGACACATAAAAGCACTTTGAAAAATACACAGGCATGTCATTATTAAATTAGATGAGAAATAATTTTAGTAAGGCTAAAGACTGCTTTCATGTAATCTCTTCCAAGATGATAAAGATGCTTTACAGCATTTGCTATTCAATACACTTCATATAATTCTTTCACTTGCATCATACAATGAACCAGAAATTGTCGAAGTCTTCTGGAGTCAAGTTCCTCTAAGAACTACAACAAATGCTATAAATTCATATTCAGAAGACACTGAAAATAAGGTTTCAAGCATGAAGACTGAAAAGTACTATCAGTGTGACTCTTTGATTTAACTAGTTTGGTAGGAGTGTACACTGCCCAGCAATTTAAAGGAAGGGGAGGGAATCTGCAGAGTACCAAGGAAGGAGTTGGACTTTTGTTAAGAATTGGCAGTAGGACTGAAAGCAGATGAGAGACTTCCACTGACATTATGAGATCTTTCTTAATCTAGGGTATCATGCTCCTGAACATTTCCTTTTAATGGTTTTAATTAATAACAGCTATTATTGTTGTTGTTCCTATTCTTACTATATTCCTTCATAATCCTTTTGTTCAAAATTGCTCTTATTGGTTATACGTCTTATTAGCATTATGAAATCAAAAGCCAGGACACAGGTGGTCTTTCTCATACAGATGTAAAACAAAAATAAAAGAACACACAAATCCAGCTTATAATGCCAACTCCTACACCCACTGCATTCAAAAATGAATATCCACCTCTTAAAGCACAGAAACCCTCTTCCTGAAGAGGAGAGAGCTCCTGATCAGCTGTCTCTATGTCCTTCATTGTTTCACATTCTAGCATAACAAGACCACGACTTCTCTTACCTGTTCTTTATTATTACTGTTCAATAGACCAGGTTTCTTTTTCTTTTTTATAGGACTTGTTGATGCATCTTGTGGCGAGTGGCCATTAGAGGAATGTGGAGGGCTGGGAAACTTCCTTTTTTGTGCTGTGCGTTCGGCAGAGCCAGGATCTATAACAGATACAAACAATATGGTTGCAGAGTGCATATCGATGAAAAACATTCAAACAAGGTTATGGTTTGTCATTCACACTCCTTCACTGAACAGAATAAAAACTCTCAATTGTCTTTCACCCAGTCACTGACAAACTGGAAGCACAGACTTGCTAAGCAATGCCACTGTTAAGTGAATTCTCAGTAATTTAGATTAACATTAAGTATTTCTTTCTTTTCCCACAGCATTTTGCCCATTTATCTCACCTCAAATTTTAGCATCTTTTGAAGTATGACAATTATATTCTGTAGTTTAGCAGAGTGCTATGCTAATTTATGTCATACACTTTAAAAGCAGAGAAACAACATTAACATTCCTGACAGCTTCACTCATGTACTTTAGGAACATAAGCAACAGAAGTTAAAACATGATAAGAGGAAAGTCAGTCCTCATCACTTTTTTCTCATATTTAAATAAACTTACTGAAATATGTCAATAGAAAAAATGAAATTGTCCTATAGTCTGAAAATAAATATGCTACCTCAAATACTTAGTCATTTGTAGTACCTGCTAAATTGGATTGTAAAAAGATAAAACTAAGACAAGATTCCCAGTCAAGTAGTAACTTTTGACAGCAAGATAGAGCAACAAACAGAAAGTGACATTAACTTTTCAGTGCCTCTCTCAGTCAGAGCTCTCACATTCAACCAAGCAAATTACAAGAGCAGTTTAATAAGTCACAGTTTCCATCTATGCCTGAATCTACCATCCCAAGGAACAAAGCTGGCAGAAGGGAGCATGTGCCTGTGTCTCAGTTGCTCTACGTCATGGATTGTCATCTTAGTGTAAACTCATCACACCAGCAATTTAAGCAGCCCTGGTGGCTCTGAACTGCATTTTATGAAACATGCAAAATTCTTTAAAAAATTAGAAGGAAATTGAGACGTAGCTCTACCAAGTGAATATCTATTATGATGATCTTCATGTCTGCTTTGCTCCTCCAATTATGCTAAATTATTTGAATTCTTCAAAGATTTTTAATTCATCTTTTTTTTACTTGGTCACTGTTTTGTTTTCATTAGAATATTCAGAAGGAATTATTTACAGCCTTAAAAGAGTTAACACACTTTAAAAAAAAGTCACTGACAAGCTCAGCAAATATTGTAGGTAAAAATAAGAGTGTTTGCAACTTCATTTTCTCAGAACAAAATTTAAATGATTCCTAATGAATATGGAATGCTTAGCTCAATTACAAAGAACTTACTGACATTTTTCAAAAGAAACAAGTATGCAATCAGCTGTAATAGACAATCATAGAGCAGTGAAACAATCTTGACAAAATACAGGTGAAAGTTCAAGAGAGTTGGTTTAACATGTTGAATTTTTCCTTAAGCTTTTAATGCATGCAACAAAACAAAATGATAGATAAAACCATAGGGGTCAGAAGTCATCAATATCATTAACGAGAAACAACTGAACCCTCCCCAAAGTCATTCCCATATTTTCGGTCCCCTACTCATATGTGCTAGTGCAAATGGTTTGTGGCTGCACACTAAAAAATTGAGGAATAAAACCTGTCTAAAAAAAAGTAATTTTTTTCTATGACCCCATTCACTGCACAGCCACACAAATGCTTGTAATGCATTCAGCGAAGCAGTTATACAGGATGGGAACATGTAGCAAGAAGGAGAAATGCTGCTTTTGGTACTAATGCCACCTTAAAGTTTTTTCTGCCAAACAACAGTTTTTAGCAGCTATTTGACAGAAGCCAGAGGCAATCAAACTGCTGGTTGCCTTGATCCTATATCCTTTCCCTCCTGGATCTGTATTCTTGCCTTCCAGGCCTCACTGGGTGACGGGCTGAGCTGTCTCAGGTTGCCAAGTCACCAAAACCTCACTGAAACACTTCACCTGAAGTCTCCAATGAACATCAGTGGTACCAGAACAACCACCAGTAACTGGATCAACTTATCAGAGCATGTCTATTGTCAATAGATTTAAATTAACTATAAAAAGGGCCACCAAAAAATACTGAAAGTTCCCCAAATAGAAAAATACTGAAAACCACAACACTAGACCATTTCACATAGACAGTGGACAAACACCTTTCTCACACAAATGCCTCCCAATCTGACTTTTAACTATTTATTGAATGAGACAATTTTGTTGAGCTACAACATTCCTCTCAGGAAATGATTTTAACACATTTAAGGAGTCTCTCACATAATATGGCCACTGACACTTTCTCATTAGTCAGTCTTGCAAGTGAGCTAGTAAAACACAGTTTAGCTTAAAACTGTGTTCAGAATAATGCCCTGTCAAATTGAAAAGTTACACTGAATCACATTCAAAAGTAAGGTAGTTTGTTAAATGGCACAAATCTTAGAGGGTCTGTGGCACAATAAAGAACTGGATTAGATTTCTAAATGATTTCTGTATTTTGTGCAAATGTGGAGGGGAAACAGTTAATAAGGAGAAATAAAAATTGGCTGCAATAATGATTTGCACAAATGGAGATAAGATTAACAACCTACGCACTTTTCTCTAAATAGAAAAAAAGTATTTGGAACAATAGTTGAGCATGAACTGGCTATGAAAAAATGACTTTTTTCTGTTGTGAAAAAGGGCAAATGATACTGATATAAAAATAGGAGTGACACATACGATGTAATCTTGATGTTAACCTTGGAATGCTTGCATATATGCTTAAGTTTATTGAAAATAATGTATTATATAGTGGAAAGAGTGAAATGACGTCAAGAAGCCACACAATTACAAACATAGCAAAACATTTTGAAAAAATATGCTCAAAACCACCATGATGCCACTAAAACTTACTCATGATGCAAGCTCAAGAAGTGATCTGAAAATATATTTATAGACTAAATTGCTTTTCAAGAACATAGGCTACTTACATGTATAGAAGAAAATACAGAGAAAGATGGAAAAGGTGTAGTGGAAGAACTCCTGTGCAAGGAAAGTTGTACCGGTCTACATTAATTTGTGAAAATACCAATTTTACCTACTATAATTAGCATCACACTTTTTTCAGATGGGTCCAGACACATGAAAGATGTAATTGTTACCTAACCAGCTGTGAACATTACCATTTGTTTTAGTTCCTGAAGCTTTTAAATTTTTTTCCCCAAATATATAACTGCACAGAAAAAAGCAGTGGTTTTGAGTTCTTTCTACACAATTCTGTGGAAAACTTGGTGCTATATGGTGACTTCTGATTGACCAAAAGCGTGGTAATGTGTCAAGATAATGATTAAGAATCAAGAAAACTATAAATAAATATTAAAAACATGAAAAGATAGATGGAAGAAGATATAACTGAGGGAGGGACGAGAAATGTAGGAGCATTTGCCCATCCTGAGTTTTATTCATCTAGAACACCTGCACCAGGCTAACGCCACATGTAATTTCAACAATCCTAGGAAAAGTGTCTGCCCCTAGAGTTATGTAGGCACAGCTATATCAGCAGTGATGCCTAGCAGAAATGTAGTGTTGGCTCTCAGAGAAGTCTTTCTGTTGACATGTTATATAATTTTGGCAAAATGTAGTTAAGCTCATTTAAACAAACAAACAAACACACACACACACACTTTTCCTGTTTTGAGTTTTCTTTGACGCTAAGAAATGGTATTTTTTTTCCTTTCCACCCCTCCCCTTTTATACTAGTAGGCAGCATTTAGGACCAGTTATATTCTGACATGCTTAGGCTGAATTAAACCAATACAAAGTGCCTGAGACCATTATTGTTACTTGACTTGTTTCAATTCAAGCAAATCTGCCTCCCACTCCATTTAGGCCAAAATTTAGATTAATTTGACAGTACAAAGAATTGCCAGGTAAGGTACGTCACCTGAATGTGTGAAAAATAGAATGTCTGTCTCCTCCCCTCCTTAAGCAATTATGACAATAAAAATCCTCATACAGGTACAACTATGCTGACAGAAGACTAGGGATTTTTTTCAGTTTAGCTAATTATGCACAGAAGGTGGCAGAAGAACTCCTTTGGCTGGAATATGCTTCATATATCCCAAGAGAGCTGAGCCAGTACAGCTATCCTGGAGGAAACACTGCAGCATCAGTGTCAGCTAAATCAAAACCCACAACTAAACCAAAGAAATCAAACCTAAAACCAAAACAAGCTCTGAATTCTATTTTTTTCATTAAAGTAGAATGGAGCTTATTCAGCATGGGACCTGTTTGCATTCAGAGTGATCAGCAAGAACAGCATCACACCACATCTTTTCTCATCTTTCCATTACCACATGGCTCAGAACAGCATGTACAATAGAAGTCTTTGTTTCTGTATTATAATTTGCAGTTCTCAACAGGGACTTTCCATACATTCCTAAAGGCAGTCATAAGTAAACTACTCTTACTGTGAAGTGCTGACCATGCCTTAATCCTTGTTTTCCCAATGCAGAGAAATCTGCAGAATTGTCTCTACAGCAAACAACATCCCCAAAGTACTTGCAAGGATCTCTGAGCCTGAGTTTCTCCCCAGCAAATAAAGCCCTCACCATAACTCACTGAAGAGACTTAGGCTTTTATTTCCAGAACGTACATATGCAGGCACAGCTTAAACCAGAGGAGAGTATAGTTTTCTGCCCTTTGGCTTCCATTTCTTACTCCCAGGCACAAAACTGCCACCAGTGGAGCACACCAGTTTCCTTTCAGCTCTTCAGCCTCAGATTGTGGGAGTTACAAAGAAGCTGCCTGTGACACTGTGTGTTCTGCCTTGGCTCTAAGTATGAAAAAAGAAAATCAGGTGTAAAGTTCCTCATCATTGGCCTGCCCCCATAATGTGATGCATCTCACTTTTAAATGCTGTTTTTTCCTAAACTAACTGATTCAGGGTCAGGAAATGGGTTAAAGCTGTTATTAGCTAAACCAGAACTGAATTACAATTCAGTCACGGCCAAATCCAAACTACACTTCAACAGAAAAGGTACTGATTCAATATCGATTTAACCAAATGCTCACACAGACATATATGTTTGGT